ATGTAAACCTCTGATTTGGTGTGATTTCGTTTCTATGTGCGTTCGATTTGGTTTAACACTGTAAATGTGAAGATGGGTTTATCGAAAGGGAAGAAAAATCTAAGCTCCTTCTTCCTCAAAGCGATGAGAAAATTCGGAAAATCTCCAGTGACGATTACCGAATCCAAAACCGGAGATTCTCTAGAGACGGAGGTTTTGTCAACTTCTCTTGTCGATTACATAAAGCATATCGGCTCTCCGTCTACCACTCAACAAGGTCTTCGTCTACCTCTTTTTTTTTTTTTCCTCTCTCCGATTTGGAACCGTTTCAGATTTGGGAATTAACTTCAATGTCTATTTGTAGAACTGATTTCTCATAGAAATAGCAAAGTGATCTATTTGTGTGTAGAATTTAGGGAAATTCGAATCAGATATCTTCTTTGTTTCAATGATAGTGTGAAATGTGTTTAGTCTATTTGATACATTTTTTGGTTCTGTGAATTGTATTGTACTAGTTGTTCCAGTTAAATCTACTGATAGTAGAAATGAAGATCAAGGATATTCAAGCAACGTATTGGAGATGTCAGGTTTTCTTCCGAGGATCGATAATAATATGTTTACGCCACGGATTCTTGTGCTGCGTGGTAGTAGGATTCAGGCGGATAGTTTCAAGAAGAAACAGTTGGGGATGATGAACAAGCTTACGAAAGGAAGTGCTCGGAAGTTGGGAACCGAGACTATGCTTGATGTGTTGTCTAAATTGGGAAAAGAAGAGGGTGAAAAAGAATACAACATCAAGATTAAACTTTACATTGAGCACGCGAAGAGAAGCAATGATGCAGAGTATGCTCTTGAACAAATTGGGGAGGCTATTGAGATTTTTAAACATATGAGACGACTAAGAATCTCTATAGGAGAAGGAGCTTATGGGCCGTTTTTTAAGTACTTGGTTGATATGGAAATGGTAGAGGAATTCCAGATTTTCAAGGATTTTATTGTGGAGGCAAGTCCTGGTTCTGCTGAGAAACTTGTGTACTATGAAATGCTTCTTTGGATCCAAGTTGAAGACGAAGAAAAGATCCACCAACTTTGCAATACAATTGGCGATAGTGGGATAAGTTTATCAACCCTGCAAGGTACGCCATACACGGTACACATATTGTTATATTTATTTAGAACTCTGGTATTTCATTTCTCGACTCTCAAAGTAACCTTTTGGCTCTTGAACAGAATATTATTTGGTTGCACTGTGTGAGAAAGACAGAAAGGAGAATCTTCAGAAGCTTTTAGAGGTTATCGACATAACAAAAGTTTCTTCACCTGACGTATTGAGAAGCATATTTGGATACCTTGGAAAATCGCTATTGGAGTCTGTTGCGATGAAGTTGCTTTGGGAACTAAGAGAGTGTGGTAAAGGTGGATATAAATCAATTGAAATAACCTGCCATTGTTTTACCGTATTGGTATTATGAATTTTGAATGTGGATGTATATTCGTTACATAGTCGCTGCACCAATTCATACATGATGCAAACCAAAAAATTATCCGACGATGACTTATTATATACTAGCATCTTAAAATCTCTTACGATCATTTTACAGCATTGTAACATGGTTTCTTAATGTTTCCAGATGGAGTGGAGCGAGTTTCAGATCTCATATTTAGCTATGCAACCTGCATCCCACATTCAACGGTTAGGATTATCTATATATAATGCTTGCAAATGGAAGGAGGCTGTTGTTAACTCCGGTGTTCTCCTTGTTTTGTTTCAAGAATATTTCCATCTAGTTTTACCGTTAATATGGTGATCTTTATTCATGTTTCTTGCACCCACATATGCATTGGTAGTTGTTCTTTTCTTCCCGTAAATGATATATCCATTAGTGTCTCTCAAGATGTTTACATCTATTTGGATTTGGAATTTAAAATCATCTAGGTCTTGAGATTGTTAGGTCCCAATATGCTTTTCATGTTGGGTTACGACAAACTTGGAATGTCCTTGAAACAATCCAATATTTGTTTTGAATCCTATTCCAGTTTTCCAATGTATAGATCAAAGTGAGTAAATAAATAATTCATCGTTATTGTTTGGAAATGGTAGCATTTTCCATACGGCACTCACGTCTCTCAAGTAGCACTAAGACGACATTATATGTTATTTTATAGATAGCCTATAGCTTTTAACCGTCCATGTTTTTACATATTTTTGGTGACTAAAGGTAGGGGATGCCATTTTGAAGTCTAACAAATTGCATGAAGAGCTAGATATCATGCCTTCATCTACATCCTATGAGAAGCTTGTTAGTTATCTCTGTGGCTTGAATGAGGTATTTGTATGCTCCTGTTAATTCAACTTTCATCTCCAGTCCTCTCCCTAGTTAACTAATGAAAATTCCTCTGTGTTGTAGGTGGCTACTGCTCTTGATGTAGTTGAAAATATGTGTGAAGCAAGTCTGGTTGTATCGGAAAACATCTTGCATTCATTGTTGCATGCCATTGAACAGATTCTTGAGTTTAATTTGGTACCGACCTCCTTTTGCTTGAAGCTTGCTTCTTGGTTTTTGCTCAATCATTTTTTTGACTGACTTCATTATATGTTCTACATTCAATAGAACAGCTAATTAGGCTGGTCATCGATATGCTCTTGAGAGATCATAAACATCGTCTTTCTCATAGTCATGTTAAACCAGAGTTTTGTTTGGCCAGGTGCAAAGAATCTATTCAATAATGAGCAACAAGAGTGTGAAGCCAAACAGTGAGACTTTCAGGAGATTGATAAGTTTGTGCATAAGAATCAAAGATGTAACTTCTTTTCTAATTCCATCAGCTTCAGTTGCTTTCTGTCGTGAACTTTCTTTTAAAGACCCCAGATAATGAGTATGAATATGCTGTTTCTCACGTTTGTTTTTCCCACCATAAATATTTGCTCTCAATCCCTGGGTTCCGTGCAGTTTGAAGGTGCATATAATATGCTTGATAGTTTGAAGAATTTCAATTTGGCACCAAACTCTTGCATGTACAATTCCATATTGGCAGGATATTTTCGGGAGGTAATATCTTGAACACTCTTTTCACGTACTATCAAATTCCTTACTTTGTCTCACCTATTATAGTCTCCACCTTTGTCTTTGCTTTATCCATATAATTCCTCTGATCATTAACGTTGAAATCTGTACGGAAACAAGATTGTTGCAACACCTAAAGAATCATGTCTCGTAAAAATTTCTATTATAGCATAGTTGTATTTCTGCTCGGCAGGTAGTTGTTGCAAAACGATCTATATAGCTTAAGACCATGTGTAGATCTCTGAAATTATTTGCAAATTTTGGGCCGATGGATAGTTTAGTTCTGTGTGCTCCATATTGTCTCTAGATTCGTTTTTGACTGAGATTTTTGTATTTTTTGAAGAAAAAAGTGGACAGAGCCTTGATGGTCCTCAAGGAAATGAAAGAAGCGGATGTTAAACCTGATTCCGTGACTTATAGCTATTTAATAAACTATTGTGACACGGAAGAAGCTATTGCAGAGGTAATCAGACTTATGTATTTTACTGATAGTTTACCTTGTCTGAGCCTTTTCTTGTTCTTCTAATCTTCGAATTGAATACCTAATGACACACTCTCTCTCTCTCTCTTGTTTTGTTGTTAGTCGTCACTGATTGATACATAAAACTCAAATAATGCTGGAATATGGGTGAGAAATATAATCTGCATTTTTCTTTCTTTCTTATTTTAAGTATCTTGAGGAGATGAAGCAAGCAGGAATTCAAGTTAATAAGAACGTTTACATGTCTCTTATAAAATCATATGCATCATGCGGACAGTTTGAGAAGGCAAAACAGGTAATCATGCATATTATATCTTCGTTTAAATGTTCTTGAATGCTTATATCCATAATTTAGAGTAAGAGCTCAAGTTTTGTTCTTACTTTAGGTGACCATGGACCTAGAACTTCCATCTAAGGATCACAATGAGCTGAAAAGTGTGCTTATATCTGCTCTGGCATCAAATGGAGAAATAACAGATGCCATAAGTATGTATGAAGAAATGAAGCTAGCTGGCTGCCCCGTAGAGCCAAAAACTATTTTAAACCTTATAGTAAGTTTGTACTTTAATCACATGTTTTTCTCGTAAATTAGCCGAGTAATAGTGAATTAGAGATATAACTATGTACTGCAATGACCTTGAATTATTTTTTCTATAGGAACACTCCGATTCAAACGAGGAGTTGACAACGTTGACTCAACTCGCTAAGGAGCTGCATAATTATAAATATTGGATACATGGTTTTTTCAAAATTATCTTGTTTGCTGTCCGCCACAATAAGTCAAGGTACAATGGATTTTGTGTGCTCTCACGTGTGCCCCCCATCATTGTTAATTACGTATGCTTCATCCAGCTTCTTTTGTGTAGCTCTATTCTTGATTTGCTCATGGAGAACAAAAGCCACTTGTCTAAGGACGATATCGCGGTGGAGTATTGGTTTGAAGAGGTCCGATTCTATTTCTCTCATACGTTTTCAATAGCTTTGCAAGCTCTTCACTTGTTCTTAGTGTCAACTCTTATAACCTCGAGATGTCTCAAATGTCTCTATACTATACATTCAACGAAATCTTGGATCATTCTGGTGTGTATCATTTTATTTAGCTCTGGGCATCTTACTGTTGAAATCAGGTATTTAAGTCGATAGCGGAAACAGAGCCTAGTAATGTGAACCTAGGGCTGGACTTGGTGAGCTTTATGAAGGAGGAGCTTGGGCTATGTCCTTCAAGAAAATGTCTAGATTTTCTTCTACATGCTTGTGTCAATGCCAAGGATAAGCAGAACGCTCTACTGGTTTGGAAAGAGTACCAATTTGCAGAACTTCCCTACAACGTCCTCAACTATCTAAGGCAAGTGCTCTGTTATCTCGTCTTACACTTTGCGGAGTGATTTTCAAATGGACAAGGTTTATAATTAAACCGAGCCAGTTTTGACACCCCTAATCGTCTCTAAGAGAGTGACTTTTTTTCTTAGGAGAAAATTTTCTATAACTTGTTCTTGGTTTTATGGTTTCGCAGGATGTATCAGGTTCTACTAGCTGCAGGGGATTCGAAAAGTGCAAAGGCAATGGTGTCTAAGATTCCTAATGATGATAAAGATGTCCAATGTATAATTAAAGAAAGCTGTGTTGTATTTACTCCAAAACCGAAAAAGAAAAAGTCTAAAAAGAAATATTATCTCTAGACAAAGTAGGATGATCAGTTGGAGGCCATTGTATGAGATTTTGTACAGGAGAGAACACGATTGCCACTAGAATGGCTAAGTCTTAATTTTATTCTAACGCTTATTGCAACATTTGGTCTGTCTTTTATGTATTCACCCCGAGGATGAAGCCGTTGCTGTAACATGGAAGATTGCTGGACTCTGCATAAGTCCTCACAGGTGAGCGGAAAGGGTTTGGAGCAACCGGATGAGAGATATCCAGCCCTGCGTTATGCAAAACCGCCTTTGCATTTCCACAAGCATCTTCTGTCTTATCAGTGAAGAAACCCGGGCTGCGCATGTTGTTCACAGCCTCAACTGCTCCTGCCCAGCTCGAATACCCGTCAAGGTCACAGTTGAAGGCTACAACAATGTCTGGTGATGTCAGGTATGCTACCTCGTCTTGGTACAAACCTTTCACAAAGCTCACCTTAACTCTGCTATTGTTTGTCGTGGAGGTGGTTGCTATTGTACCAGATAAGTCGGATGGAACTTCAGGTCCGACCATTATGATCTGCACGGTTCCTAAACCATTAAGTAAGTGATTGATCTCTGCAAATGCTTTAATCCAGTCGAGTTCTCGTTCAGGACCTACGTAATGGACAGTCACTTCTTTCCCTTTGAGCAAGAGATTCTTGCAATGAATGCTTAGTGTTGTTAATATGTGGTAAAGGGTCAAAGGGTAGGAGAGAATGTCACAAACCGGGCTTGATGGTGGTAAACAACGGAGATTATAGTAATCCGACCAATTTGACAGGAGGAACATACCCAGGGAACGCCCGTTGTTCAGATTCTGAATCGGTAAATCTTGAGGATAATCTCTATCCTCAAGCCCTCCCCATGATTCAGATTGTGCATCTGAGGAGATACCGTTTAAGAGCCCGAAAGGGCTGTGAGAATAGCAACCGCATTGTCTCCTCCACATTCCCTTTTTATGGATACCTAAAGATCCAAGCCATTGGCATGCGTTTTCAGCATAACACGAGAAAGTGAAGATCTTGATCTTAAGCTCTTCTTCTCTACTCATCATTGCTTCGTAGAGACCACAAACACTCCGGTGCATCTCTCGCCAGTGCCTTTTCTCACAATCTGAACTACAGTACATAGTTGCACGGCAATGGCTACAACAAACAGACTCATCTCTAAGAACAGATTTCTCGCACATTGTGCACCGTCTTAAACCCGCTTCTGCACCAGAACCAACTTGCAGATTGGTCATGCCTGAAACTATTTCCAACTCATCATCTTCGCGTGCCATTACCGCGGTTTTCTTGGACTTCTGTTCATATGATTGACCAGGAGGATGCGAAACCGTGACAGCAACAAAATCATGTCCTTTAAACATCTCTGGTGGCCACTGAACATCAACAGTCTCAATAAAAGGTGAAAACTTTAACATCCTTGGCAATCCCCTGACTTGATTCTCCTCTTGAAGCAGCAAAGGATGAACCAAAGAAAGAGCTTTCATTACAACAAACACAAGCCTAAGCTCTTCGAGTGTCGGGTTTCTGAACTGAAGCTCGCCAGTGGTCATGCACCGCGCAACATCGATGACCGGAAACCGATCAGTCCCAGAAACCTCTAAACCCAAAGACTTAACCATTCTCTTATTAGAAGGAAGCATCAATGACTCAAGCTCATAAGTAACCCTCAAAACCTCGACATTGGGAACTCTAGCCATTTCCCATGAATCATCAGTCATTTTCAGAGCAGAGTTCATTGACCTATACATATAGATTGCTATATCACCACCATCACCTCCTATGAACTGAACACATTGAAAAGGCCGTCTCTTTCCTGACCAGTCAGAGTCTTTTCCGACCCGAACACCGAACAAATGACCCGGTCTAAGCTTCTTCCATGGCTCACTTCTGTATAAAGAAGCTGAAGCTCTGAATATGGATTGAACAATATTGGAAGATATACCTTCAACTTTCATCAAGCAAACACCGGATCCGGGTCCAAGACCCGGACCTGAACCGAATTGTTCCTGAAACCTACCAAACAACTTCTTCAAATGCAAATCCATTCTTCAAACACTGAGATCTGAGAGAAGAAGAAGCTCTGATCAGAATCACTTAAACTGGAGAAACAAGAATTAAAAATCAATTTCTAAAACCCAGATGGGTTTTTGCACTGGGAAGAGTGAATCAAAGAAGAGTACTGGGTTTTGTTTTTTTACTCTTATCGCAGCAGCGAATCGGCTAAAAGAATGATGAATCAAGTGAGATTTGAATTCTAAAAAGATTTGGCAAATTATGGTTCCGCAGTCAAACGGTCACTAGTCATGACCGACAAAGTAAAAGGGTGAAAGATTTTATTTTTATTTTTTCGTCCATTTTTTATAGTCCGAAATTTAATTGCTCAGGAACAAATTATTTAAAAATCATTACTCCAATTTGGTATCAAAATTTCAAATTGATAAGTGACACAAATTAAATTTCCTTTTTTCACAGTATATTTTTCTAGTAGATTTTTTTTTTTAATATAGTTGCTATGAGAAGATAGAGTTTTCTTCACAGTTTTTCTC